AAAAAAAAAACTCTGGAACGTAAAACGAATCTTTATAACATAACACAATCAATTTTTCTACAACTTAACTCTTATAAAACCCAAAAATTATTTGGAGAAAAAATACACCAAAGCTTAATAGAAATACGTAATACAAATATGAACATTTCAAAAGTCACAAATTGAGTAAACACAAGTCTGAACAAATATTGTTGATATCAAATTGATAACAAAAATATGTTATCCATCGATTACTCGACTAATCCGATTCGAACCGGATAGGCTCCCATGGCAGAAAAGTTCTCCCTATCAAGATTTTAACATAACTGCAGAAATTCAAACTCGAGATCACTGATTAAATTAGAATAATTTCTTACCCGTTTGATCCCCGTGATTAGTGGTATACTGGTATATATGTTTGTTCCTTTTTAAAGCAACAAAGCATAAAGAAAGAGTTAAACGGGTATTCTAATATATTATAGAATTGTAAATAATCTGTACAAAGGGTTCTCTATTTATAGAGAATACTTGACCTAATTTTGACCTAATGGGCTTGACCCAATACAACAAATAAATGACTAAATAATAACTAAATAATAACTAAATAATTATTATTTACAACACTCCCCCTCAAGCTGAGGAATAGGTATTTATCATTTCCAGCTTGCTAGTAAGTTCTTGAAATCTGTCTGAAGGAAGCCCTTTTGTTAATAGATCAGCTAATTGACGCCTAGTGGGAATGTATGTAGTGGTAATCAACCCGCTATCAAGTTTCTCTTTGATGAAGTGGCGGTCAACCTCAATATGTTTAGTCCGATCATGTTGAACTGGATTATGAGCTATACAAATAGCAGACTTATTATCACATAGCAGCTTCATAGGTCCCTCACATTCTATTTTGAGATCATCAAGTACAATTTTCAGCCACAGTAACTCACAAATGCCTTGAGCCATAGCTCGAAATTCAGCTTCTGCACTTGATCTGGCAACCACATCTTGTTTCTTACTTCTCCATGTCACCAAGTTACCGCAAAGAAACATGCAATAACCAGTGGTAGAACGACGGTCAGTCACGGATCCAACATAATCAGCATCTGTGTAGACTTCTAAAGATAGATTGCCATCACGTCGGAATAACAATCCTTTACCAGGAGTACCTTTAAGATACTGAAGAATTCTCTCTACTTCCTGCATGTGTTTTTCTTTTGGATCGTTCATAAACTGACTGACAACACTAACAGCATAAGCTAGGTCTGGTCTAGTATGGGCCAGATATATCAATTTTCCAACTAGCCGTTGATATTGTCCTTTATCAACTAGATGACTCTCTTCTTCATAGCTCATCTTGTGATTCTGCTCAATAGGAGTATTAGAGGGTTTACACCCGAGCTTTCCTGCTTCTTTGAGAAGATCAAGAACACATTTCCTCTGGCTGATAAAAATTCCTTTGCTTGAATGAGCTACTTCTATCCCTAGGAAATATCTCAGTTTCCCAAGGTCTTTGATTTCAAACTCAGAGGCAAGCCGTGTTTGCAAAATCTGTCTCTCCACAAAATCATCACCTGTGATAATAATATCATCAACATATACAAGGAGCACAATAAGCTTCCCATTTCGGGAGTGCTTGAAGAAAAGAATGTGATCTCCTTGACTCTGTCTGTATCCTAAGGTCATCATAACCTTAGTAAATCTTCCAAACCAAGCACGAGGTGACTGCTTCAATCCATACAAGGCCTTTTAATCTACAAACTTTATTTTCCCCCTTCACAGAATCAAAACCAGGCGGGATTTCCATGTAGACTTCTTCTTCTAACTCACCATTGAGGAAAGCATTTTTCACATCAAATTGATTTATATCCCAATTGTAATGGGCAGCAAGGGATAACAAGAGTCTCACTGTATTCATCTTTGCAACTGGAGCAAAGGTTTCTTCATAATCAATGCCATAAGTTTGAGTGTAACCTTTGGCCACTAATCGAGCCTTATATCTCTCAAGAGTGCCATCAGAATTATATTTCAGGGCATAAACTCATCTGCACCCTACTGCTTTCTTTCCGTTGGGTCTATCAATAACCTCCCATGTTTTATTTTTCTCCAAAGCATTCATCTCCTCTTGCATGGCTTCAGCCTAATTCCTATCTTTCAAGGCTTCATGTACTGATTTTGGGATTGCAATAGAATCTAGTGCTGAAACAAAGCTTCTGTGCTGCACAGAAAGATTAGCAGAGGAAATAAAGTGGGAGATAGGGTATTGAGTACAAGAGGGACAGGAGGAACAAGTTTTCTTGTGACAAGATCTTTTTCCTTTTCTAAGAGCAATAGGTAAGTCATCAGAAGTAGAAGCAATGGGTAAGTCATTAGAGATATCAGAAGAAATAGACAAATCATGAGAGGAAATAATATTAGAATCAGAAACAGGAGATTCAGGAGACTCAGAAGAAATAGGAGATTCAGGACTTACCAGTGGTTCAGACGATTGAGGTTGCTGGTGAGACAGTATGAGTTGTTTCCTCCTCTGATATACCAATTCAGGTGTCAAAATTTTCCGTATCTCAGGTGTATTTGAAGGTTCTGACACAGCAGGAGCAGACACACTAGGAAGAGAGAAGATTGATCAAGACTCAAAGAAGGAAGGGGACGAGTCTTCTGAAGAACTGTTCTCCCCCTGACGACGAGGACCCAGGAAATAAGATTCAGATTCTTGAAAGGTGACATCCATAGAAAAAAAAATTTCCGACTTGGTGGATGATAACACTTGTACCCTTTTTTATAAGGGGTATAACCAAGGAACACACACTTAAGAGCCCTAGGATCCAACTTACTCCGATGTTGTTTATGAACATGGACAAAGGCAACACATCCAAACACTCTTGGTGGAAGGCTCTGCAATATGGGAACAGAAGGAAAGAAGAAAGTCATGGAATGAATATGACTGATATTGTTAAGGACCCGTGAAGGTAAACGGTTGATCAAAAAAGTTGCAGCTAACACTGCTTCTCCCCAATAAGAACTAGGAACAGATGTATGGAAAAGTAGTGCTCTAGCAACTTCAAGAAGGTGACGATTTTTCCTTTCAGCAACCCCGTTTTGTTGAGGGGTATCAACACATGTGAGCTCATGAATCATACCTCTGTCTGAAATGAATTGTGACAGGCGTTGATTGACGTACTCAGTACCATTATCAGATCTGAGTCTTTTAATACCCTTACCAAACTGAGTCTCAACCATGTGATGAAACCGAATAAATATCTCTGGTACTTCAGACTTGTCTTTCATCAAGTATATCCATGTTATCCGAGTACAATCGTCAATAAAAGAAACAAACCACCTTGCACCTGAAACACTGTGCACTTTAGAAGGGCACCAAACATCAGAATGGATAAGAGAAAAAGGTTCCCTGCTTTTAATAGTGCTAGAAGGAAATGACACTCGATGGTGTTTTGCAAAGTCACAAACATCACAATGAAAAGTCTCAACCGACTTATTGAGAAATAGAGAGGGGAACATTGACTTCAAAAGACTAAATGGTGGATGCCCCAGACGCTTGTGATGGAGCCAAATCATAGACTCTGCAGTAGAAGGATGACGTGTCATTAATAACTGATTTTTGCTAGCATGGTTTGGAAGGAGATGATACAACCCATCTTGTTCATTAGCAACTCTAATTGTCTTCTTTGTGGTAAGATCCTGAATAAGACAATGAGAAGGAAAAAATGTGATAGAACAATTCAAATCAGTTGTAAGTTTTTTAGTGGAGATAAGATTAGTAGAAAGCTGAGGAAAATAAAGAACATTTTGAAGAAACAAGGAAGGTTGAATTTGAATGTTACCAGAGCCAATAACTGATTTATGGGATCCATCAGCTACAGATATAGTATGACTACCAACAGTAGGATGATAAGAACAAAACAACTCAGTACGACAAGCCATATGATCAGTTGCACCAGAATCCAAAATCCATGAGGTTTTAAACTCAGTGCAAGAAGCAAGAAGAGATATAGAACGTGTGCTCTTACTAGATAAGATCGAAGAACTATCATGCTCGGCCATTCTTTAACAAAAAAAAGTTAACAACCAGCGATAAAATCAACCAAACAGAATATCAAATGACCTCTGATCAGAAAAATAATCATAGATCCAGACAGAAGACAAGAAGACGAGAAGAATGGTGGTGGTCCGGTCAAAAAACACGGCCGCACGCGCCGGAGAAAGGAGCTGCGCGTGGGCTTCACTCGCCGGGAAAGAGGCGGCGCGTGAGAGCGCATGGAGGGGCTTCTCCGGCTGAGATTTTTCTGGTGTGGTCGTCCGGTGATCGCGCACCTGTCTGTGGGTGGTCGCGGTTGAAAAGTCGCCGGAAAGTGGTCCAAACGGTGAAGACAGATCTGATTGGAGGCGGTCTGAGGTGTTTGGGTCATTTGTGGCGGAGGAACAGTGCGTAGAATGATAGAACGGGGGAAAAATAAGGTCAACAATGGTCCCCTTAGTCCAAAAAGTCCCCGGAAAAATTTTCCGGTGGCGGCTGATGGCGGCAAGAGGCAAAGAAATTAGGGTTTTGTTAAAAAAAGAAGATAATATGTGCGGAAGCAAAGCCCTTAGATCGAGAGCTTTGATACCAACTTGAAAAAGGGTATTCTAATGTATTATAGAATTGTAAATAATCTGTACAAAGGGTTCTCTATTTATAGAGAATACTTGACCTAATTTTGACCTAATGGGCTTGGCCCAATACAACAAATAAATGACTAAATAATAACTAAATAATTATTATTTACAACATATACTGGTATATATGTTTGTTCCTTTTTAAAGCAACAAAGCATAAAGAAAGAGTTATGATTCTCTAGTGAACATCGTTACAGTAATACTTTATTTTGATTTTTGTTTTTATAATGCATGCTTCAACGCACCAAAATAAGACATTTCTGAATTAATCTCGTTGGACCAGTTTCATGTCATTATTTACGTGTAAGATCAAATTTAAATCCATACATTTTGTGCAGAAATAATTAACATCTTCATTTCTATAAGAAGCCAAATGGTTCTGGCAGTGACTCAAATCCATTATCAAAGATAGGTCCTTCATCACATTTATCATCAACACTACGCAGCCAGTTTGTGTTCTTCAAGTCTTCTTTAAGCAATAGTGCATCGTATCGACAACTCTCGTACATATCAACTTCACTCAATTTTCCAATGTGTTTTCTTTCATCATTCTCTCTTCCATTTATCCTATTAATCTCATTTCCAACGTCAAAACTTGCTCCAATTTTTCTGCTTCCGTTAATCTGCACTGACGCTGGAGCACTCAAACCTCGACTATGTTGAGCCTTTGGAGTTGAACTTCGAATACTCTGAGGAAACAGTGTAGCGCTTGAAAGTGAACGCACTGTTCCTGAGCTGTTCCTTATATCCTAAATTCAAAAAATAAAAGCTTATATTATAATATAGAACAATGCATAACACTTGAAGCTTGTGTGAAAATTGTTTGGTGATATGATATCAGAGTTTTTATGACTAAATAGTTTAGAGTTTAATCCCTCTCTCGCGTTTTAAGTTCAAATGGCTCTTTGTTAGAAATATATTATGAAATTAAACTTTTGGGGGAGTTTGTTAGTGACATAATTCATACAGCTCCATGTGGAGAATGATTAATCATAGCATAACATTTAGACCATGATTTTCATTCAAAGTAGTGGCTATGATTAGGAATAAAATTTAAAACTGTGATATAGTATGATAGAGATATATAAAACTATTAATGTAGCCTTACCTAATAACTCAAGTTTTTGAGTTGAATTGGTTCTTTACATAGTATCAGAGCCTCGATGTTACGGGTTCGTTCCTCACCGCTCCCATTTAATTAATGATTGAAGTTTCTTAATACAGGTAGCATGAGTCTGATGTATCATCTACCCTTCAAACTCAATGAATTCTCGTGTAAGGGGACGCGTTAGAGATATATAAAATTATTAGTGTAACTTTACCCAATAACTTAAGTTTTTGGGTTGAATTAATTCTTCACACAGTAAAACATGTAAAATTTGATTGTTGATCATGCAGAAATGGAAAAGTATAGTAAAATTCTTACCATGTGTCTAATAGCCATATCCAAGGATTTCTTTGAGATGGTCCTCCCAAATCCATTGTTATCCGTAGCAGTAGTTGAAGACTTAACAGATTTCCGTGCAACTACCTCATTGGCATTGATATGGCCACGGCCTTTTCCTGTGTATTCTGATAATCTACCCTTATAGATAACAGGAGATGACTGTCTCCTTGACATAGTAACCGAAGCTTGTGTTTCAGTGTTTGCCTTCAAAGTAACAGGACTAGGAACAGGACGGGACCTACCTGCAGAAACTGGTCTATCAGGTAGTGTTGTTCTAAGGTTTGGTGGTGTTTCAAGGGGAAAATCAGGTGGAATAATTGGCTGGGGTGGCGGCCGGAGTCGTGGCCCCGGTGAGCTTGGCCGTGATATTGGTGCTGAATTACGGCCATTGAATGATGCAACATGTCTTGCTGAAGTTGAAGAAGTAGTTGTTGGGGATGGAGATGGCATTGAATGGCGACGAGTTGGAGTAGAAGGCCTTGAAAGTGAACGAGAAGATGGGGAATGTAAGTTGGGAGGAATGTGTGGCTTAGAAGTAGAACTAGGAGTTGATGACCTTGAACCTTGTTGTGATGGTTTACTTCTATCAGCTGATGAGATAGTTGGAACTGAGCGTACTCTTGATGGTGTTGAGGGTCTTGATGGAGTGGAAGGCTTTATTGCTGATGGAGAACGAGTTATGGGGGAAGATGGCCTATTGTTAAATGGAACTGAAGCAGAGCTTTTGTTAGGAATGGTGGAGGATCTTTGCTGTGAACTAGAGATGGAAGAGCGAGTCACTGAACTGCTTCTTGTTGGTCTAGAGTGATTGTTGTTCTCTGATTGTGAGACTGAAACCTGAAAAATTTATGGGATTCAGAATTTAAACATAACATCATCTAGCTGACCAATTTCATATCCACATTATATTTGAATACCAATTAGTTGTACAAAGCTATAGAAGCAATCTCAGTTTGATGACAGTGTTAAGGTAGTGAGATAATTACTGACCCTCCTACAATTTCAGGTTTACAAATTCTAGACATTTTCTTCTGATGTGTGATTCTTTTGGCTTCAAGGTTACTTTTCATTTGTACATCAATGTAAGGAATGTTTGAAAATGATAAGCAAATTACCACAAACAATGCATCGTCTAGTTCTTTTGTAAGGTTACTTAAATTGGAAACAAATATTTAAATGAGCACATTGGACAGCACTGGATGAGTAATTAAGGTACAAGAGAAACTTAACCCCTGATTTCAAAAAAAAGAGAAACTTAACCCCTAAAAATGTTAATAATTCTTTGTCACTTGTGGTTAACATCATAATATCTTATCAATCCAATCACTAATAAAGCTTCAGTTGAGGTTGATTTATCAATCCAAGCACTAACAAAACTGTGAGAGTTATGCCTATGGATATGAGAAATTATTAGAGGAACATACCCTTGAGGAGGCATTAGTGTTTGAAGGTAATCTACCCAAACTGCTTCTTGAAGGCGCCAAGGTTGGTTGGGATTCACCTTCTGATGATGGAAAATCAGGGGTACCCGGGGGAGTGAGAAGCCTATAACACAAAACATATGATAATATATGCACTCTCTCATTTCAAAATAGTGAGGAAATATGAAGCCAGCCACCAAAACAATGTAATCTGAATTAGTTATGAGTTCACTTGAAAATAAGGTTAGTTGCGTGTATTTAATCAAGATTTGAGAAAATAGTTATTTTTTCTGCATTTGATTATTGGTCTATTACTTCCAATACGAAACAATCTAACTCTGACATAAAACTGAATGAGACTATGATTTTTTTTTTTCTCCAGGCAACCGGTAATGCATATACTATTAGTATCTGCTTCCCAATTCCTCTAATTGGTCAGTCCTCTACTCTTACATGTGGTGCATACATTATGAATTTCATTGTTTTATAGGCCAACTTAAGATAGAGATTCAACTCAATAGTACTGGTATGCTATAGATGCAACAATAATAGCCCAAACCTTGTAAAGCGATTACAAATAGATAAATGAATACATCTAGTGGAGTAGTGACAAATGAATGGAAAAATTGTTAATAGACTCAGTGAAGTTAGAGAAAAGTGACTTACCTATTTGTATATATTCTACATTTCTACTCACTCCTTTATTGTTAATGTCACATGAGTGCCACTTATTTCTAGTTTTTTTTTTTTTTTTTTTTTAAGGATGTCCCTATCTATTTAGATGAGACTAATTCCTCTCGTGACATTGAGTGTGAAAGTTTTACCACTCACCCTAAGTTGTTTCTTCTCGGATTCGAATCAGAGACTTTTCAACCCCAATAGTCCATTCCTTGGCCATCGGCCCTTATGGTTACTTATTTCTAGTTTAAGTAAGAGAGTGTTTACAACAAGAGTCCACTGACAGATATGATAAAATTCTCTGAGAAATGTACCAATCATAATCATGTTTTCCTCCTTCCGTGGATGACAATAGATCATCAATCCCGCTTCTGGCCAGTTTGGCTGATTCAACTGAGAGTCTCACCAGTTTCCCTGAAACTGCATGCAGAAATAACATCGGTGAAGCTAAATTACAAAGAAACAATTCCAAATTCATTGGCCTAAATAAAGGCAGACAGATAAGATGTTTAAAATTAAAAAATTCAACATAAAAAAAATCACTCCTCGTTAAATCCGACTAACGAGTGTGGGGTGGAGGTAATCCTTGTACGCAGTCTTACTATCGCATAATTACAAAGAAATTGTTTCCTGAATTCGAACTCATAACCTTTCAGTCATGAAAGAACAGCTCTACCTTTCAGTCATAAAAAATTCAACATAATGAAACAAAAATGGAAGAGGGAGCAAAGCATATTAGCATTAGCACGAGGAAAGAGAAAAGGTTTGAACCATTGGAAGAAGGAGTGTTGGAGAAGAGATGGAGATTTTCTTGGGAAATAGCAATTCCATTGAAGCTGTGACCTCTGCGGTGATGATGCTCATTCACATTCATGATGCCAACTCAACGCTGCTGCATTCCCTCAACACCAATATATTCATAAGTTTTATGGTGCTTCTTGGATTAGGAGAATGAACGAGAGTACAGTGCAGTAGATGGCAAGCAAAACCATTCACTTGTACGTCAAACACACAAGCACACAGAGTGTTGGGGAATTCAACCTTGTAACTTAACTTGTATTCTTTGTTTCATGGAGTGTGTGGAACCATTATTGCCACTGCTTCTCTCTCAAGTTTTCTTCTTCTTTTCTTTTCTATTGGAGTTTGTCAGATATGTTTCAACTATAAAATCATGAACATTCCCACGTGGCAACTTCCTACTGGACCTTGTTTTCACAACTTTGATTTATGCATTATTCATCAAGACATTGAAACAAACAATTGTGAAATGCAAATGCCCCCACAGCACATGGTATATGGGATGAGATCACATCATGTTATTGTTTTTGGGTTTTGGGTTATTGTGTTTGTGTGTTATTGTGGTGATTGATGAAGAAGAATAATCATGTTAAGGTGTGCCCATCCCTGGCTATGCAACAATAAGTTATAATCTATCCTGTGACCTCATAACACATGATTTCCACTTGTGCATGTGATCATAGATTACCTTCTTCAAAGGAAACTTGGGGAACGGACACTTTAAGTTAAGTCTTTGTTTGTGTAAAAGAAATAAAGCGTGGGAAGAGTATACTTTTAACCATTTGCATATCAATTTGATTTGGACCCACTTCCAATTGCTTTTAAGTCATTATTATTATTTGGGGGTTAAGTCCATTGCTTAAGATTGGCTATTAATTGATGGCACATTCAGTCCTTAAACCTCTCAACCACTCCATGCATGATTATATGAAATTATTGCAAAGATAATCATAAAATTGGTTTTGGTTTAATTCCATGGTTATTCATTGAGTCTATATTTAGGTATCTAATGAAGGATGACACACAATGAAATAAAATAGAACAAAAATACCATACTATTGTTTGGATATTTTGTAATGGAAAGAAAACAGATAAATTTCATTAACTTTCTTCATTCATTTCATCTTATTTTAAAGAATTTAAATGAATAACATAATTTTATTCTATCTATCATCCTTTACGTCAATCTAAACATAAATGTAAAAAAAAACAGATTACGTAAAAAAAAAAATGATGCATGCTTTTTTCTCAATATTTCAATAATATCATATTTAGGGAGCATTTTGAGATAAGGCAGCTAGCTACCAACCTAGTATATGTCCCTTTTTGACAAAGGGTAGTATTAAGCTTAATGAAAACTCTATAAACAGTATAATATATTATTTGCTTATCACTTCTCATTCTTCTCTGAATATTAATCATTACTTTCATTAAGTACATCATTGGTACAAATATGATTAATTCTATAATTTCATGTCATCATCAAAGTCCCAAATGTTACTCGTATGTTTTTACTTTAGATTTACATTCTTCTTTTTTCACGTGCATAAATATTTAGGAGCAGTTTTATGAATTTGGTTAATCTTTTGTAATACACCAAAAAATGTTGTTAAGAAAGTGATAAACTAACTTCTTGTAATAATGAAATTAAGAACAACAATAAATAATTAACCAGAAATAAATAAATAAAAAGGAGACACATGTACACCATGAAGTTAATAAGCGACCATCCTCAAAATCCTAAAGTGGACCACGGCTGAAAATTATTGGAACCCATAAATGAGTATGAAATTGAAATCATGCAATGGCGGGACCTGAAGAGAAAAGGACCTGTGAATGCCGTATAGGGTAACATGAAAGACAGAGAGCTTAGCCCAATAGGAGGATATAACCATGTGATTCATCCGCAAATATCGATGATGTAACAACAAACATGTTCAAATTTCGTTGGTATGCATTGGAGGGGAGGCCCAGTTGCAAGGAAAAATTATTACAAGATGTTGTAGGTCATTTATGATTTTATTCACTCCCCGTAGTAATATTTCAGACCCATAGTAACTTGATTACTTAATTATATATGCAACGAATAAAGATTTTTTAAATTATTAGAAGATTAAATTGATAACTTACATATTTTTATTCAAAATTTACTATCCAATAATTATTGGGCTAGATTATACACAATTGAGCTGCAACGATGAGTTTGGGCTTTGGTTGGTCGATAGCTGCGAAATGTCTGGTTGGTTGGTGGGATAATTTGCGAGATGTCTGAGAGCAGCTTAAGGAGACTGGTGGAGATACTTGCAAGACACTTTGACGCTCAAGTCAGTAAGTATTCAAGGGATCAAGTATTGATGGGAAGATGATTATACATGGGTTTAGTGCCTCTGTATATATAATAGATGAGCGTCCTGGTTATGTCTTCTTGGTATGACGATATTTATTCTTATTGATGGGCATTTGTAGTCTTTGCAGGCTATTCCTTGAGCAAGATGCTTATATTCAAACTAAGTCTTGTAGGTGTGGTGGCAAGTAAGTGTATGTGCTTTGCTCATTGGTCATACGGGGGTAGTAATGTTCTGAGCAGCTGATGTCGTATGGCCGCAATTGACTAAGCAACTGGTACCGTGTGTCAAGAGGTTGCAGAATTGTCAAGACACACGAGATGGTCGTGTTTCCTTCTCCATTAAGCAATAGTCTTTGGGCCCTATAGGCCTTTTACTGGTTGGACCTATAATTTCACGTGGTATTGTTCCAGGTCAATATATAATATAAGAGTAAATACCATTTTTAGTCCTCAGCAAATTTTACGATGCCTGTTTTAGTCCCTAACAAATAAAAAGGCCCATCTTGGTCCCTAAGAAATTCAAAATGGACCAATTTAGTTGAAATCGTGGTCCCTCACAAATTTAAAAAAGACCCATATTAGTCCCTAAAAGGATTAAAATGGGTCCATTTTGAATTTTTTAGGGACCACGATAAGCCTTTTTATTTGCTAGGGACTAAAGCGGGCATCGTGAAATTTGCTGAGGACCAAAAATGGTATTTACTCATAATATAAAGATGAAATTGTGAAATGTATTATATATAGGGGAAGTATCCTTTGACACCGGTGTCGAACTTTAAAATTTGACATCAAATCCTAACCATTGATTTTCGCCATCGGTTATCATTTATTGGGAATTAATAGTTAATTTATAATAACTCTCACATGTAGTTGTGAATTTAATTATCAATTAATGATTTTAATCATTATATTGAAGAATAATTATAAGGAAAGTAGAAGAAAAAGAAATAAAGTCACCTTTGGTGAAAAAAGAGTTAAAATGACAGTTAATGGGTAAAAATATGGGTAGACAAAGTTATCCGAAAGTGAAAAGTAAAATGATTAATATTACCCTAAAAATATTGTGAACCAATGTATCAAGTTTGAAAGAGAGTTAAGTGAGCAGGATAAAAAAGTTTATACCCATTTGGTTAGTGAGCTCACTTAGAGCTCCAAAACTTCATTATTTCCTTTGTCTTCCGGTTGACTACTCGACAAAGAGGGAGGAAAGAAAAGTTTGAGTGAAAATCTTCATCCTTTGATAACTTGAGCTAGGATTGAGGAAATCCATCCATTCCAAAGTCTAAAGTGTGTAAAATTTCATCCTTTACAAAAACCATAGCTTAGTTTTAGTCGGGAGTCATTATATTGAGAGATATCTCATCCTCCCCATTTCGAAAATTTGAATAAGTTTGGAGTTTGAGGCCATAGAGCTTAGAAACTCATCTCTCTTTTGTTCTAGAGTGTATTGTGGTAAGAAATTCCCTTCTTTTTCATGTTTTTATAAAGGTTGAACTTAGGTTTCCATTTTGAAAGTTTGGCTTGATTGAGTATGTTAGAGCTTGATTGAGGCTTAGTCCATGTTGAGAAAAGTGTTTAGATGAGGATTTTAATAGTGAAAATGTATTCAAAAAATTAAAGATACCATATTTTTGAACAGTGTCGTATACATGAATAGTGACATATACATGAATAGTACTATAGAGATGAACAATACCGTATGTATGCGTTGATGATGGATGATGATGGAAATTAATGGTTATTCATGTTATTAATTATATAGTTTTGAGCAAAGTGACTCAATGGTTGAAGAGAGTTCATTGGAAACAATTTTGGGTTGAAAACCTAATTTCCTTGAAAATTACACAAAGAGTAAGTTTAAGTCAAAATTTAATTAGCCATTGGATATGTGCTAAGTGAAAAGCTTTGAAGGCTTAAATAAATAAAAGATAAGGTGGAATTAAATATGGTATACTAGTATATATGAATACTACTTGTCTTCACATCTTGAAACTAGATTGTGACTTTGTGAGAGATCGTGATTGTGACTCTGTGGACACGAGATTTATTGGAGGACAGTGCTTGACAGGTAAGCTTTTGGTCCTTGGGGTTAATCCCTCGTTTGTTCCACCAAATTCCGAGGAAGGGTGGTAGTTTGATATGGTATGTTGAAAATAATTTGTTATATGTTGCATATATATGTATGTATGTTTATGTGCCATACAAGACAGTGTTTTCTTGTGTGAGGCATAAGACGATGTTTTCTTATGCATAGTATGAGACGGTGTTTCCTCATACGATATATTGCAAGATGGTGTTTCCTTGCGTAATGTATACTTGTTATATTCTCTAGCCATTAGGATTTATTATTTGCACACTACATTGTCATACATATTCTGATGCATGCATAGGTTTTTACTATGGTTATACCAGAAGTGAGCTTAGAGGTGGAGGAGCTCTTTAAGGGTCCCTAGCTTACTGAGGTAATTATATTATCTCACCTCACGTTATGGGGATTACCATTTCAAGAACAGGAGCTGATGGTCTTGAGGCATTGTGCGGCAAAAAGTCAGACGAGATATATTAACTGACCTGATAGTCAGGATTAGCTTGTTATGCTGATATGTATTTGACATGGTTTTATTTTGGATATGTATATATACAATGTTATTCTTTTGGAGAGGATATGGAGTGTTTATACCATGTCGATAGACTGTATATGTTGTTAGTAGGAGTGTTTATCAACCGATTCAAACCGCGATGATTGAATTGAAAAACCGATAATCGAATAAACTAAAAAAAAACTGCAAATTTTAATTGGATTGGATCGGTTTTCGGATTGGTTGATGAAAATCGATCCAATCCAAACTGATCCAATATTTTAATTTCCCTCTACCTATTTGGGCCTTCCCCAATCATAGCCCAAAAAATTCTAAACCCAAGACTCATTAACCCATCAACTAAATCCAAGAAAAAACCTAGTCACATCTCATCAACAAAATTTCATCTGTGTAGAG